CAACCAGGCAGCGGGGCGCCTGCTTGTCCAATGTCCCTGTCAACCCTCCCCCCAAGTAGACAGCAGTCCATAGCACCCTTAACACTCCGTTCTTAGAAATCCTCTCCCGTTCCCATTCCGCTTCTGGCCTGCAATTAGAGATGTCTATGCCACCGCCCCTCTACCGGCCACCTTTCACCCCTGCTATTACCCCTCCTTTCTTTCTTTCTTTCTTTCTTTCTTTCTTTCTTTCTTTCTTTCTTTCTTTCTTTCTTTCTTTTTTTAGACGTTTTTGCTACAGGGTGCATGGACTCGTCAGAGAGACAGAGAGACAGAAAGCAGGAAATCACCCCCCCCCCGGGGGGATGGCCACACCACAGTCCCTTCTCCATTCTCCTCTCGGGATCTTGGGCACACACACACGCACCTGGCTTGAGTTTAAGCCAAGGGGTCTGGGACTTGAACTGCGGTCAACTACATGGGAGTCCAGTGACATAGCCATTACGCCAACTACTATTACCCCTTCTTGCCTCCGTGTGAATAATGAAAGACAGCCCACGGCACAGAGCGGCTGGGTTGACTCTCAAGAAAGACTCAGTTATTGAAGATCTAGTACGAGGAGAAGTCATAAATACCCCAGTCTGCTGCAGTTGAGGGGAATTAACCACACAGCAAACAAAGCAAACGTCCTCCCGTGAGGACGTTCAAAGCCCCCAAGTGGAATTGTGGAGTAGGTCCATTGTGAGGTCCCTGCATCATAAATGCCAAGGACCAGGAGATTTCAGGGGAGCCCTGGGCCCTGAAGCCCCCTCCACTAGAGGGATGTGATTCCCACACTCCACGAACGGTACGGAGAGACCAGAGCCCACTCGCCCACTTCCTGCGTGCTGTTGGAAAAGCTTCCACTGTGGGCGGGAGGTCTTGAGTTGGTGAGCTGGCTGTCACTGGAGGGATTCCAGCAGAGACTGAACACATCCTGCCTTGGGAGGGGAGAAAGACTCTGGGGTACAAGTGGAGGGTAGCGTGTTGGGGAGAGAGAAGCTGAAGGAGAAACTGATGTTCTTGGGGCCAATCTCCTTTGTGGTTCAGGCCCAGATCTCCCCATGAGTCTCTCAACTTCAGCAGCTTTTTCTCCACACTCACTGAGCTGTTTCCCTTTCCCTCCAGCTTCCGAAGAATTCCAGAGCCTGAACCCCAGGCCCGTGCCCCGGCATTTCTGCACTGAGTACAGGGCAGTTATAATCCAAGGATACCCACAGTTCCATTCCTCACTCTCTCAATACAAACAGGATTTAGAAGGTTCTAGAATAAGCACCAGGGACCCTGGTTCTGGAAACTGCTGTTTCTAAAGTAACTCCAAGGAAGGGTTTTCTTTTTCTTTTTCCTTTCCTTTTTCTTTTTCTGGAGAGGTGTATGCTACAGGGCTCGCCAGAAAGAGAGACAGAGAGACAGAAAGCGAGAAATCACCCCCGAAGGGGATGGCCACGCCACAATCCCTTCTCCTCCATTCTCCTCTCAGGATGCATGCACACGCGCCCGGCATGAGTTTAAGCCACCGGGTCCGGGACTCGAACCGTGGTCAACTACATGGGAGTCCAGCAATGTGGCCATTATGCCATCTGCTGGTTCCAGGGTTTTATTTTTCTTACACTTTTTTTCTTTTTTAAGAATTATTTATTTGCTGGGACCAGCAGTTGGTGTAATGGCAATGTCGCTGGACTCCCATGTAGTAAACCACGGTTAGAGTCCCGGACCCAGTGGCTTAAACTCACGCCGGGCACGTGTGTGTGCATGCCTAAGATTCTGAGAGGAGAATGGAGGAGAAGGGATTGTGGCATGGCCAACCCCCTGGGGGGGGTGATTTCTTGCTCTCTGTCTCTCTGTCTCTGGCATTCTGGCAAGTGCATGTGCCTTATAGCAAAAACATCTCAAAAAAAAAAAGAATTATTTATTTGCTGGTCCTAGGTTTTCTTTTTCTTACTTTTTTTTTTTTTTTTAAATGGACCAGCAGATGGTGTAATGGCTATGTTGCTGGACTTCCCTGTAGTTCACTGTGGGTCAAGTCCCAGACCTGGTGGCTCAGACTGACGCCAGGCACATGTGCATGCGTGCCCAAGATCCCAAGAGAATGGAGGGGAAGGGATTGTGGTGTGGCCATCCCCCCTTGGGGGTAATTTCTCACTTTCTGTCTCTGTCTCCCTGTCTCTCCGGCAATTGCACATGCCCTATAACAAAATCCTCTCCAAAAAAAAAAAATTATTTAATTTCAAATTTTATTATTTTCAATTTGCTCCAGGGCATACACACTCACCAACAAGAGACAGAGAGAGGGGGGGAAATGAGCAAGCCTCCAGGTACGGGACTCGAACTGTGCTGGGCCATTAAGGAATCCAGCACCTCAACCACCATGCCACCTGCCAGCCCAAGAAATGGTTTTCTAAAACCATACAGGAGATCGCCACCTTTTAGAGGGCCTAAAATGTGGTGAAGTCTGTCCGGGGAGACTCGAGATTCATGGCTTCACCTCTTCTCACCCACAGTCCCAATTTCTTTGTAGGCTGGGAGGGACAGTTTAGGGAAGGACATGCCCTAGACCCCTCTTGGCCTTCTGCCCCCAGAGTTACGGGATGCAGAGGTGGGGCAGGGACTCCCCCAGGGCCGAGGTCTGGTCCTGAGGTTGCTAATCAGTTCTCTCCCACCCTCAGCTAGGAGCAGAGGAGGGTGTCGAGGAAGGGTGTGGTGATGAGGACAGGATCTGAGTGGGTGGGTGTGAACAGGTCCTGCAAAAACCCAGAGGTAAGGCTAGATCTCGTGGTCTCAGCTTGGAGAGGGGTCCTGGGGTGCTGACTCAGCTGTCAGAGGTTCAGGGTGCCCCCACCCTTTCCTCCCCGCCCCCAGGGTGCCCTTTGAAGCTCAAAGGGGGCTTTGATCAGGGATCTGCCAGGCCAGATGCACTGGGAGTGGGCGGAGATGTCGACTGTCCCCCAGGCCTCACCCCTCCCTTGGCCCCCTGCACCTCCCTCCTCAGCCAGGAGACTGTTTCCGGCAGTTATGGGGGCACCCAGCCCCACTCTATCCCCCCTCGCCTGCCTTGCAGCTGTTCCCCAGCTGCCCAGCCCCACCCCAAAGACAGCTGGGAGAGGTAGGGGGGCAGGAGCGGGCCCAGCTGCTCAGCTCAGGCTGGGTGGGGGAGGGCAGGGACATGAAAGAGCTGGGACTGGGGGGAGTGGCAGGCGGAGGAAACCCCCCCCACCAGCGGTGGCCTCCCTGCGGGCTCTGCACATCTGGGCCACAGGAGCTGCTGCCCCAGTCTGTGGGGTGGGGAGTCGCAGTGGGAACCTCAGCCCTTCCCGGAAAGAGGAGGCGTGATGGCCTGGGAGAGGAAGCAGGGCAGGGCCTGTCACAGAGGGGAGAGCTGTGCAGGGCCTGCACCTGTGGGTGCGAGGGGCCCTCTGGGCGGCCTCTGACGCCTTCCTAAATGGGCCTGTGTCCTGGGGGGATAGCTCCAGCTCTTTCTGGGTGGACCCTTTTGGGAGTTGGCAACAGCTGCTCTGACAAAGCCAGGGACAGCTGGGTGGCTGGGGACAGCTGGATGGGGTTAGCATGGCCCTTCTCCCCCGGCCGCCCAGCCCTCCCCGCCGCCCCGCGCTGGGGCGGCAGGCCAGCTAGCCTCCAGCTGGGTGCACGAGTGTGTAACTGCGAAAAAGCTCACAGGGGTGGGGACATGGTGGGGCTTCAGAATCTCCCCTTCCCACTTCCTTCTGATTGACACACCTGGAGGACCCCTCCCACCAGCCAAACACAACTAGGCCAGGTGGGAGAAATCGGGCAGCCTTTTCTCTGGGCTCCCCACGTGGGCCTGGGAGATGTTCCAGGACTTCTGACACATCGGAGAAAAGGACAGTGTGTGGTGGCAGGCCGAGTGGAGTCGAGCATCTGTCCAGTCTGTCCATCCTCCAGTACCTGCCCCGGAAACCCCTCCACCTTGGACTAGCCACGCCCCCCTTCAGGCCTAAACAGGTGCAGGGGGAAGGGGGGCACCTGTCGTCACACTATTCCCAGCCTGGCGAGGGAACGATGAAGCCAGGGGTCACTCCCCTGCCACAAGTCGTCATCTCCCACAGGACAGGACAGAGACTTAGCAGAACCAAGACTGGTCTGGTCTGGTCGGGGGAAGGCCTGACCACGTCTTCCCACCTGGGTCCTGTTCTGAGCAGAGGGGCGACTAGGGGTCAGTGAGGCTTGGCCCAGCATGGGACTTGACCCATGGGCTCCCCACCTTGTCCTAGGCTTCCTAGGATGGGAGGTGTTCAGGCCCTCATTCTGCCCAGACAAGGGGGATGAGAACTAGGTTCCAGCAAAGGTTGACCCCCAAGTGGTGTCAAGGGTCAGGGGCCTCCTTATCACAGACTCTTCTAAGCACCTAGCCCTTGGGCAGCACTTCCCAAACCCCAGCCCTCAATTGAGGCCACAGGGGGGGAGGGGGGAGACATCCTCGTCCTCTAGCTACCCTTCCCCTCCAGCGCCAAAGCTGCAAGTCGCCAAAGCAGTGTGGAGTTGACTCCCTCTTCCCGTAGGGGCCAAGGCCCAGCCGGATTAAGTTCTGAGAGGACAGCCTGCCGTCCCTACACCCGCGGCCCTGTGCAAAGCCTGGCGCTTAGTACGAACTCAATAAATATTTGTGGACTGAGGGAAGTAAACTTGGCAGCACTCAGAGCGGTGCTTCTGTCTGTCTAGCTAAGAGCGTATCAGCAGAACCTCAGAGATGCCAGGGCCCACGGAGCACGGGGCTGGGCCTGGGAGGCCCTCAGCAAATATTTGTCAGATGGACCCAAGGTCACAAGCTGTAGGCAGCGCTGCTGAACTGCCACTCACAGGCCTGGAGCCAGCTCGACCCAGGAGGGCAGGGTCAAGGCAAGGAGGGTGAAGGCGTGTGTCCTTAGAGGGCCCTCCTCATGCCAATGCCTGAAGACCCCAGGCCTGGGGACACTGGGGGTAAGATGCAAGGCAGGGAGCAGGGCTGCGCCAGCGTGTTTATTAGAAGGTGGGTTTCGGTGTGTGCTCTAGACAGATTACAGAATAAATACCTGCACCTTGAGAACAGGAAGTCCACGATTCATACAAAGTGCTCACTACAGGAAGCTGCCGTGTCAAAATCCAGTCAAGGACCCAACTTGGGGCAGCCCTTCCTCCCCCACTGACCTCAACAAGGGCTGTGCTATGTGGTTTTTTTTTTTATTTATTATTTCTTTTATTTCTCTTTATTATTATTATTAATATTATTATTTGCTTTTGCTGTGGTCACTATCATTGGCAAAGTTCCTTTCCCCCTTTCCTGGACATGGGGTTCCTGTCTTTAAAGATTCCATTCTGAGGCTGAAGGCGCCAAAGCTGCTTGAGAAGTGGCCTTTGAACTCCATCTGGGAAGATGGTGAGAAGGAAGCAGGAGAAATCATTCTTGGTTTAAAAAAAAAAAAAATTAAAAAAAAAAAAAAAGAAGTCCCGTAATCTACAGGTCACTCCTTCCTCGATCAGTGATCCAACTGCCCGGAAGAAAAACAAGAGGACAGCCAGTGGGCGCTGGGCCTTCTTCCCAGAGCCCGTGAGGAGGGTTGGACCCTCCAAGGGGGGAGGGGGAGGAAACGGGAGTCAGCGAGTGAACTCAGCGCCTCAAGACAGACACTTTCCCAACTCCAGGGCCACCTGCGGCCCCTGCCTAGGTCAGCTCCACTGTCACCTCTGCGTCCAGGAGATCCATTTAAAAAACAAAAACAAAGCCCAAAACAAAACAAAATCCAAAAGGAAAAGATTGGGAGGATGGAAAGAGCAAGGGGAGAGGAGAGGAAGGTAGGAGGGCAGGTCTCTGGATGCATTTCCCGGGCCCCAGGGACTGGGGGAGACTCCCCAGCGCCCCCTGCCTGCGCGGCGCGGCGTTAGCTCGTCACGTAGTGTTTGGTGGACGGCTGCCCATACACCCTGTAGAAATCCTGGTGGCCAGGCTGCTGGGAGGCATCGAGCCAGTCTCTGACCGCCAAGCCAGGAAGGGACTGGGGGACGGAGGGTGTGGGCGGGAGCGGGTGTGAGTACTCCTGTGAGGGCACTGTCCAGGGGAAGTGGCCGGAGCGGGGGTAGGGCTGGTGGCCGCCATGGTTGGCCACAGAAGAGCAGTAACAGTTGTCCACAGAACAGACGAGAATCTTGCGGCCGCCATACTGGGGGAGCATGGGTTGCTGGGCGGCGGAGCCATTGGGGTACTGCGACGGGGGGAACACGGGACTTGAGTGCACTGGTTGGGCGCCGCCCGGCAGGGCCACCAGGTGCTGCGTGGAGCTGCAGGGCCCCAGGGGCTGCCCGGACTGGCCCTCGCCGCTGGCTGAGCCCGCTGCCCCGTACTGGCTGTGCACAGGGCCCGACGACGTCTCTAGGAAAGTGGCCTCCGGGAAGGCCGCCGAGTGCTTGCGCTTCTCCGCCCCAGAGCTGCTCACGCCGCAAGGGTACAGCGGGACACTCTGCAGGAAGGGCACCGGCGTGCTGAAGGGGCCTGTGGAGATTTGGGGGCAGAAATCGCCAAAGCTCCCACCCCAAGCCACCCGGGCCTCCTCTCCCCTGGGGGCCTTTCACATCTGAGGACCAATGTCACATCTCGGTCCTGCCCGCGCTCCCTCGCACTCCCTGGGGTTACAGCTCAAGAGCCAGGCTTAGAGGTACCCTGGCCCAGGGTCCCTCAGCTCCAGGTGGCAGCCCAGCCAACCAGGCCACACTGCCCCTTGGAGGGAAGGCCCTGGCATTCACCCCTGCTCAAAGGGCACTCTCCCTTGGGAAGACCCCACCCTCACCTTCTAGCATCTTCCGCAGCTGCTTCTCTTTCTTGGCCACCTCGTTCAGGAAGAGCTTGGAGTTCAGGTGGCCGATCTTAGGGGGAGAAAGGCTGCTGCCCGTGCAGGTCTGGGTCCTGGGGGTAGAGGATGGGCGTCTCCTGTGAGTAGTCACCACTCCAGCCCGCCCTACCTCCCCCGTGGGCCTACACCCCTGCCGCCCCATGCTCCTCCGAGGGCCGAGTGTCCGCTCACCTGTCCATTAGGATTTTCACAGACTTGGTGTTCTGGAAGAGAGAAAAGGGTCTGTGAGTGGAAACAGCAGCACAGGGGAGGGCAAGGCAGAGCTGTCCCCCCCTCCTCAGGCAGGGCTGACCCTCAGTCTCTGGTACGAATGGGGCAGTGGCGTGCGAGTGGTGGTGGTGGTGGGGGTCACCATTTTTGGGAGAAAGAACAGCTAACATTTCCTAAGCACCTGCGATGTGCCCTACGCTGTAAATGCCTTCCATGCTTCCATTTTACCCTCGCAGACAAACACCTAGGAGGCAGGCAGGTCTCACGGCCCTCCACGGCACTCCCTGTTTTGGTTGGAGGGCATGTATGCCTGCCAGAGACAGACAGAAAGACAGAGAGGAAAAGGAGGGAGCACCTTCTATGTGGAGCGGTCGTGCCACAATTCCTTGTCCATTTCTCCCCTCTTCTGAGCTTCTGGACACACGCACATGCTCATGTGGCGTGCATGTCTTTCCAGTCACACCAGGTCTGAGACTCGAACCATGCAGTCAGTCGCATGGGATCCTGCTGCCTCAACCACCGGGCCATGGAGCTCACTCGCCCTCTGCTTTTTAACTGAAAGTCTCTAGGGCCTTTGGAATTTGGAACTCCTCGGATTTCAGAAAGGAACTACGGTGCTTGTATCATAGACAGGAATCTTCAGAAACTTCATGGAAAGGGGCCGGCAGGGGGTGTGGTGATTAGAGGCACTAGATTCCCACGTGGTCGGTTGTGGTTCGAATTCCGGACTTGGAGGCTTGCTTTCTCACCTTTCCTTTCTCTCTGTCTCTCTCTGGTCAAATTCAAAAAGAAAAAAAAAAAGGAACTAACTAACTAAATAAGTAAACTTTAAAAAAAAATTCATGGAAAATGTGTACTACGAGAAAACTATACAAGGGTTTCAAACATTTCTTTTTTTGTTGTTTTCACCAAGATAAATTCATACTTAAATTCCTTCCCCATGAAGTCCAGGAAGTGCTCTTTACCACAGTGTCCCCAGCAGGGTGCCTTCATCCAGTACATCAGCATTTCTGTAGCGAGCTGTTTCAATTTCCATACCAAGTGAGACAAAGACCAGGAATTACCCAACGTCCATCCTGGTCAATTCCTGGTCAATTCGTACTGTTAAATGAGTTGCCAAACTTTTTTTTTTGGTTAGTTTTCAGATGCTTGAAATTGGAAACTTGGGCCAGCAGTTGGTGTGGGGGTTAAGGAAGCTGGATCCCACATGGCTGACTACATGGTTCGAGTTCCAGATCTGATGACTTAAAAAACATGCCAGGTGCGTGTGCGTGTTTCCAACACCCTGAAAGGAGAATGCAGAGGGGACTACTATGTGGCCATCTCCCCTGGGGAGTGATTTCTCACTTTCTCAGTTTCCTTCTCTCTCTCTCTCTGTAGTGAGTGCACATGTCCTATAGCAAAAATTAGAATAAAAAATAATTAAAATCATTTCTAGAGGCTGGCAGGCCTGTACTGTCAACCCCACCCTATAGGTGAGGAACAGGCCCAGGGAGCATCTGTAACTTGTCCAAGATCTCAAAGCTAGAAAGAGCAGGTGGCAGTGCGCATCCTGCAGGCTGGCTGGGAGGCCAAGGGCAGGTAAGGGTACTGTGGAGGGAGCTCGGCTGGGGAGCAGGGAACTGCAGACCCAGCCTGGGAACGGCCCTCTATCCTGCCGGCCCACCTTCATGAAGCTGACATCCTCCGTCTTATCGAAGAGCAGCTGCAGGGAGCCGAGCAGCTTCTTGGCCTCCTGCATGCGCTCCCCCAGGTGCAGCGCCTGCGCCGCGTTCTCGCTGCAGAACTTGGCCTGGGCCTTGTCCAGGACCTCCACCGTCTGCCGCAGGTCCTCGTCCAGCAGCTGGTGCAGTTTCTCGTACTGCAGCCGCACTTCCTCCTTCAGCTGGCTCACCTTCTCCTGCGGGTGCAGGGGGAAGAGTGGATGGCAGGTGAGACTGGGGACCCCTGGCTGCAGCTCCTGCCCATCTCACATGCTGCAGTGTGCAGCCCGAGACCCCAGCTTCCGAGGGCAAGGGTTCCGTGCCAGCTGCCCTGGTACCAGTGGGGACGACGCACCCATTTACGTCACTGCATGAGGGGTTCGAGCCTATTGCTGCACAACAGATCCTCAGTAAGGAACTTACCAAGGCCCGGCAGCCAAGGCACACCCACCCCAGACCCCGGCTTGGGCTTAGCTACCTCCACCAGGCGCTTGTCTGACTCGAGTTTGTACAGCTGGTCCTCAATGTCCTGCTCTCGCTCCTCCAGCCGGTCCTGCTGCTTCATCAGCATTTTCTGCAGGGACAGTGGGGTAGGGGACGTCAGAGGGGTGCAGCTCCAGCCCTGACCAAGCAAGGATGGGCAAGTATCATCCTTCTCTACACGACACGCCCATTCTGGAGATGCTCCCAAATCTCTGCCACCCAGCCCCTTCTGGCCCTCATGCCATCCCAGGGGCTTCCTGAGAGCTGTCTGGCCAGCCCATTCCTAGCAAGAACAGCCTAGAACAGCTCCCCACACATATGTAAACCATGGGCTGAGGGGAGGGAGGGCCAGCCTCTGTGCCAAGCACCTTTCCTGTTCAGACTTATCTCATCCCAGTAATGATGTAAGTATTATCATTAGTCCATTTCACAGAAGAGGAAACGGAGGCCTAGAGAGGCTGGGGTCTTGTCAGTTACACAGCCAGTAAGTGGGGAGCTGGGATCCACATCCAGGCGGCCTGGCAGCAGTTCTTATCCAAGCTGTGCCGCCTGTCGGGAGAGCACCACCTCAGAGATGAGTTTGCTAAGATGCAGGGGGTTGAATAGTCTTCCAAGGTTATTCGTCAACCTTGCCCAAGGTCACAGAGCAAGAAAGAGCAGGGGATGAGGCCAGCAGGTAGCATAGTGGTTAAGGTGCTGGATTCTCACAGGGTCAACTGCAGTTGGAGTCCTGAACCCAGTGGCTTGAAAATCATGCTGGGGGCACGTGTATGTGTGCCCAAAAGTCTCTAGAGAAGAATGGGGGAGAAGAGATTGCTGCATGGTCATGTCCCCTGGGTGTGGGGGGGTGATGTCTCACTTTCCCTCTCACTGTCTCTGTCTCTCTCTCCAGCAAGCACAATCACTCTATGGCAAAAACCAAAAAAAAAAAAGAACAGAAAAAGCAGGAGGGCAGGTTTGCACCCATGCAGGCTGGCTGCAGAGCCAAGGGCGAATGAGCACGCTGGTGGGGAGACTGGCTGCGGGAGCAGGAATTGCAGACCTCCACCTAGGAAGGGCCGCTGGTCTGACAGCCCTGGGTCTTCACACAGGCCTCTGGCCTAGTCCAGAAAATCTCACCTTTATACCTCCTCATGCTCGAGGCTGGGAGTGAGGTCTCTGGAGTCCTTGCTAGAGCTCCCTCAGCCTCAGAGGGGCCCAGGCAGGCAGAAGACGCTGGTTCTCTTAAGTCCTGGGACCAGTCTGCTGGAAGGTGCTCTTCTCAACTCCTAATCTCTTCTCCCCATACCACCTCTGCCCATCCCAGCCTCGTGGTGCTTGGCTCTTCCATCCTGCCCTCCCTCCTCACCAGACAGACCTCTTCAAACACTGTCCCTCCCTGCTTGACACCCCTCAGTGACGCCCTCCTTTCAGATGCCAGAGCCAGAGCAGGGCAGTGGGGGCTCTTTGACACCCAGCCAGGAGGGCTGCTAGGTAGCCTGTCTCCAACATTTAACTCTCTGCTGCCCACGGGGCCTCCTCCCTCCCCTTACTTATCGCTCAAGGCCTGACTTAAGTCCCCCCAGCTCCAGGGGAGCTGCCATGCCCCCACTCTGGGTTTGTGCAGGCCCCTCCTGTCCTGGTCAAGTGGTGGGACTGTCACTCTGCCCTCCCCCTATAGCTGTGCTAGCCAGTATGGGAGCCTCTTGTCACATACGGCTAATTTTTTTCTCTTTAGTTTTACTATAGAGCATGTGCACTCGCTGAGGAGAGAGTGAGAGAGAGAGAAAGTAAGAAATCACCCCCAGGGGGGATGGCCACCCCGCAATCCCTCCTCCTCCACTCCCCTCTTGGGATTTGGAGCACGCACGCACACGCGCCCAGCGAGTTTTCAAGCTGCCAAGTCCAGGACTCAAACTGTGCAGTGGGCTATGTGGGAACCAGCCACCTTAGCTTCCACGCCAGCTGCTGGCCCCACAGGTGGCGATTAATTACAATGATTATAAACATAATAATTATAAATACTCCAAGGGCTCAACACATGCAGCTAAAACTGGGCACCGCCGTCACACGGCACTGCCGTCAGAGCTCTCAGACGCTGCCTCCTGCGGCCTTCGAGTGTCACCGATGGGGTTCTGACCTTCGAAACCCAAGGCCTCTGAAGACCTGGGCTTTGCTGCTGTCTTGTTCCACCTTCCTTCATAGCCAGTCACATGAGGGCCTGGCCTCTCAATGTGGGTCTTCACAAAGTTTACCGAAAATGTCTATTATGAAAAAAATAAGGGCCAGCACATGGCATGGAGGTTAAGGTGCTGGCCACCCACAGTTTGAGTCCTGGACTTGGTGGCTTGCTTTCTTACTTTCCCTCTCTCTCCTTCTCTCTGGTAAGTGTGTGTGTCCTACAGCAGATTTAATAATAATAATAATAATAATAATTATGATAGGGGCCAGCAGGTGCCATGGTAGTTGGGACGCTGGACACCCACATGGCTGATCATGGTTCGAGTCTCGAACCTGGTGACTTGCTTTCTTACTTTCTCTCTCTGGTCAAATTAAATAATAATAGCAATGATAAATAAAATACAATAATTTAAAAATAATAACAAAATTAAATAAATAATTCAAAAAAAAATTGCACATGGATTCCAAAATTTTTGCACAAAAATAAACTTGTACTTGAATTCCATTTCCCATCAACTCTTTTTTTTTTCTTTTTAAAGAGATTTTTGCTAATAGGGTGCATGTGCTTGCTGGAGAGACAGAAAGCGAGAAATCACCCTCCAGAGAGAATGGCCACACCGCAATCCCTTCTCCTCCATTCTCCTCTTGGGATTTTGGGCACACATGCACATGCACCCCGCATGAGCTGAAGCCACTGGGTCTGGGACTTGAACCACGGTCGACCATGTGGAAGTCCAGTGATAAAACCATTACACCATCTGCCAGTGCCCCCATCAACTTTATCAGGTCCCCTCATATTTACTGAATAAAGTGCACACAAAACATCAGCAAAGCAGCTCTGTGTGGTCGCAGTGAGGACCCACTCAGCCAGTGGCTCTCTTTCTTCCTCTGTGGGGGTCGAGTTACCCTTCAACTTAACCCAGGACCTTTACTTACAGCCACATGCAACCAACTTCCTAAAGACAAGCTGCCAACAGCCCCTCCGCACTCCCTCACCCACTTTACACACGGGGAAACTCCAGCCAGACTCCAACTCCTGCAGACGCCCTAGGAACAAAGAACCAGGACCCTGGGCTCAGGAGGAGGTTCAGGGGTAAGACTCTCAGTGCCTGGGGTACCCCTCGCCCCCACCCTGCACCTCTACCTTCCAATGGCCCAGGAGACCTTGCCTGTCCAACAAGCCCCCTGCCCCCCGGCACAGGGATCACAGGATCTGCTGAGAAACACGACCGGGGTGGGGGTGGAACAGGGGTGCCCCAGTGTTGCACACACACACACACACACAACTGCACACAGACAGGCACACACAGTAGCCTGAGCCCGAACCCCAGCTGGTGGATCTGCTGCTGTGTGGCCCCCTGTGCAGAGAAGGTGGGACCTCCTGGAGTCCCAGGCAGTGGAGGGAGACCTGCCACAGGATAAGGCAGCAGGGACACCCCCTCCGAGATGTGAGGCCTTCTTAACGCTCCTGAAGCAGGCGGCTCTCAAGTTCTTGCCTGCTGGTACCCAGATTCAGAACACTGCCACCCCTCAGCAGTACACGTTGGGGTCCAGGCCACTCCTGACACCCAGAGTCCAGGACACTGGACAGCCAGGCACCCACTTGCCTCCCTCCCACTGACCACCCCATCAGTGTCAGGGCAGGGATCACCCCGGGCTGAGTCCCAGATGAGGGGGAGGAAGGAGGCAGCCCCAGGTTCCCAGCCCACTCCCTCCTACCCCCAGCACAGGAGTGGGCTGCTCACTCTCAGCCTGCAGGAAAGCCCCCCTTGCAGGGCCTGCCCTCCCTCAGGGCCAGAAGATCCTAAAGGTGCCACAGGCCTGGGGAGAAGGGGGAGATGCTGCTGCCTTTGCTCTGGGAAATCAGGAGGAAGGATGGTAAGACCCACCTTGCTGCCCCCACCCCAATCCCAGTGAATGGCCAAATCAGGCTCAGGCATCCAAGATACCGGAGACAGGAGCAGAGGAAGGCAGGCCGGGGCAGCGCCCCCACCAACCCAGGCTCCTTTCCTTCCCAAACCGCCCCCTCCCCAGGGCTGAGGCCCAGTTCCCACCTGGGAGACCCCCAGAGCTGAGGTGCAGAGCATGGGCTCTCAGTACAGGGGGACTTTGCAGACTTCTGGCAGCCACAGCCAGCCACCAGGGCTGCAGCGCACTGCGGGCTGTGGGCGCGGAGCAGCGTGGGAACCAGGGTCTGCCCTGGAAGCACCCGAGAGGCTGGGGCTCCCGAGGCAGAAAGGTGTGTGGGGCCCAGGGAGGGCAAAAGCATTAAGACTGGGGTGCTCCACTCCCATCTCCCCACAGCCTGAGCACGTGCTCCCTGGACCTGTGGTCCCAGGGTCACTGCCACGAGCTGCTGGGCCGGCGCCCTCTCACCCTGGACTCAGGAACCATAGCACCTAGTCTAGTCCCTAGTCCAGTCCGGCCCAGCGAAGCCTCCCATGCCTCTGGAGCCTGCCTGCCCAGCCCCAGGTGGCATTTTGGCTGCCAGACTGGACTGGGCAGACGAGCAAGGTGTGGGGACTCTGGGCTATATAAAAGTTAATAAATAATAATAGTAAAACCCTCAAACCAACCTTGAAGAGAAGCAAGGTCAGGAGAGAACCAGGCCCCAGGGACTAGGGGAGAGAAAGGCCCTGGCTTTTCTTTTTTTTTTTTTCTTTTTTTTGGAGAGGTTTTTGCTATAGGGCACGTGTGCTCACCAGACAGACAGAGAGAGACAGAGAGATAGAAAGCGAGAAATC